GCTGTTCTTGGCAATTATCTTTGGCAATGCTAAAGTCTATTAACTGTTGATTTTTTTTTTCAATAAAAAGTAGAAATTAAATCCTACTGTGCCCATTGGAGACTCTTTCCAAAGGAAGAGTTACTGATGAGCTATTCTTCCATGATTGTGCTGGTTTCTCCAAATAACAACATCGCTGTGTGTTTTTCACAAAGTGAGTAATTTTCATAGCATGCTTTTGGGAGTTTCTGCTGCTGCCAAAGCTAATTTAATACTCATTAAAGTACTGAGCAAGTCTAATCCAAAGCCTTATGGGCCTTCAATGCAGGCCTGTAAAATGCACAGATTTGCACTTGCTGGGTAGCTCCAGGGAAGGCATACTTTGGGAAGAGGGGCTTGGTGTGCATCCTGCTATCATGGAGCTGCCATGGCATAAGAGGGAACTGGGAGAAGATTCCCATCACGTGGGCAGGGGCATCTATCCTCTGGTAGCAATCCTAACTGCCAGAGCCACAAATGGGACTAAGGGCAAGCTCTGATGCTGATTATCCTGTCCCAGCAGGCTGCCCAAGCCATGTGACTGGTCCTGGAGTTCCACGAGGGATAGCTGGCATGGGCTGGTGTGATGCCACGGCTGCCCTTCACCTTGTGCCTGCAGAAGGCCTGGGCTGTGGAGCTGTGCCACCCACCAGCCCTGCTCCTCAGGAGTGGGGCCCAACGCCTGCTTACCCGCTGACATTTCCATCTCATGAGGAGTCTCTGCAGTGGATGAAATCATGGCGCTGTCACTGCTTTAGGTGGGGCCGGGGATTCACCCAGCTCGCTGTAGCTGCTGCGCAGCCCGGCTGCCCGCGCTTGCAGCGGGGATCAGGCGATCCTCCGGGAGCACAAAGCCAAAGGTGGCGCGTGCATCGTGTGGGCAAAGCGGGTGCCTGGGCGATGCCAGCTGTGGCTTCTGCTGGCGCGGAGCCACTCAGGATGAGCGCTGCCGGGAGCACGGAGGGGCCGCGACTGCCATCGCCTGCCCAAGCGACCTCTCTGCCGACAGCTGCGGTGCCGGTCCCTCTGTTGGCTGGTGTGTGCTCCCCACACCTGGAATAGCGTGAGTTAGGACACGGCAGCGCTATAAGCACCTGCGCAGCTGTGCGGTGGCGGGAGGAATCTCCAGCTCCTCAGCCGCGGTGGGCTCGCTCCCGACAGGGCGCCAAGGCGTGTCCCGCACCGCACCTGCAGCTTCAGGGTTGTCTTCGCACAACGCACGGTTGTTTCCGAGGCTGGGAGAGTTGGGGGGTGGCCGCAGGGTGTGTTCGCGGTCAGGGCGGGTGGGTCCGGCCCAGCGCCCCGTCGGGGCCGGGGTTGCCGCTAGATGGCAATGCTGTCCCGGCGGAGCCGCCTCGCCCCGGCCGAGTTGCTGCTTAAAACCCAGAGGCTCCTTCCACCACCTCAGTGCTATTTTCTGGGGCACAAATGCCGCAAGCACTTTGCTTTTTATGTCATTTATTTAATCGTTTATTTGTTTATTACCACAGTATTGTGAAGCGTAGGTAAATTGTTCACTGCTAGTCACAGAAACGGCAACAATTTAGGGCCTTTTCTAACCAACTATGAGCTTTTAGGTCCCTTCCAACCCGAGCCATTCTATGATTCCATGTAAACATTAATTCCAAGACTGTTCCCAGCCAGTTTGGTGGAGAAGCAGAGACAGAATGTCAAGGGCTACTGTCTAAATGTCCTAGGCCTAAGTCTCTCGTGCTGTAAACTGAGACATTTGGCATTTAATCCAAAAGAATTACACACATTCATTACATCAGAGATTAGGGTTGGAGAATCCTAAATGTGATCATAGTCACGTAATAAGGAAATTCCTTATTTTCTGTTGAAAATGACAGAACAAGTCTCTTTAAGCCATCACCTCTGTGAAATGATGGCTGGTTGTCCGAGGCAGCCCTGTTTCTGCTGCTTAGTGAGATAGTCAGAGCCTACATGTGAGAGTGATTCATCTCTGCGCTTCTTGGTTGAGATAACAGCATCACAAACCTGGCTGTTAAGGTTAACCTGTACACTACACAAGGACAACAGATGGAAATTCTGGTTTAGAGCCGCTGCAAAAAAATAAAAACATGTTCCAAAGGGAAAAGAAGCTTGTATTTCTGTGTTTGAACCTTTGATCTCCAGTCACATCTGAAGGGAAGAGTAGACCTTTTGCTGAAGACACATGGTTTTGCATCTGTGAAAACACAGCTGTATAGAGCAAAACAAAACTGGTGGAAAACACAATGGGTTTGCTGTGTCAGTTTAGCTGGTGGCGTTAAAATGCTTTAGAAATAGTGGGGGTTTTTTGAAGAAGCTTTCTGAAAGTCTCCGTCTTTACACAATTGTTTGTTGAGATTTTACTCTGTGGATTTTAAAGTTTGTCAGTGAATCAAGAGACAGCTGCTACCTAAATATTTAAAGCAAACTCATGGGAAAGTCTGGCAATCTCTTAACAATCCTAATTTAACAGTTTTCTAAAAAAAATATAAATGAAAGCATCAGAATTTACAGGAAAATCCATGCTGGCAAAATCACCCTGATTCAGAACAAAAAATAATCCACGTATCATTAATGCTGGAATTGTTAACAACGTGCATGCAATATACAGCCATTTTGTGCTAACATACTTTATCAGAGTTGCCCCAGAGCACCCCCTGACACGTCTCCCAGTGTCCTCAGTCACATAATTTTGCATTTGAGCGTGGTGGCACAGCCTGCTCCCTTATGCCTGCCTGTTGTCTCCTGCCTCCCCACATTTGTGGTGACGCATTGCTGTCCCAGCAGTGTCCCCCGCAGCCCCGCTGCCTCACTGCATAGCCCAGCACTACCTGTCCCCCACCCCCAGCACCTCTCTGTGTCCACCCCCCTCCCCAGCACTGCCACACGCTCACTTGTGTCAAGAGCCTGGCAGTGTCACTTGTTTTCTGCCTTAAATCCCTACTCACTCCAGTTGTTTTTCTACGAAAGACAAAGAGAGGAGCTAGAAATGAGGAAGGCTAAGTGTGAAAATGCAAAAATTTTTTTTTTTAATTAAAGAAATATTCTTTTGTATCTTAACCAACAGATTTCTTTTGGGGCAGGGAAGGAATCTGGCTTTGTTTTCTAATTCTTGACATCAGCACAACAACAACTTACTCTTAAAATTTGTCTGTCCTGAAGCCTTACAACAAATTTTCCAATGTGTTTTGGTTCCTAAACATGCAGCTGGCACTTAATGGGATTTTCAAAAGAGCATAAGCAGGTTAGACATCCTCCCATCCACTGAAATCAGTAGGATTTAGGTACCTATCTTGCTCAGTTGCTTTTGAAAATCCTGCCAGGTGCCTGTTTGCATCTTCAGTTGCCCTGGAAAATCTGGTCCCCATCTACCCCCATGACCCCCTCCCACTCCCATCAATATTTGTCTCCTGTCTCTGTCTCCCACACTCTGGCCTGCATTGATGCCAGAGTCTCCTCCTTTGTAGTTCCTGATATCAGGGACATCCTTCTCCTTTCTCTCTACCAAACTGGGTCTTCAGCTGGTTAAAGGTTCAGTTGAGCAGTTATGACTGTGCCCAGATTTTTCAAATTAGTTTTCCTCTCCTCCTAATGATTTTTAATTCTTTCTTGGTGGTGTTTTGACTGTGCAAAGCATTTGGGGTTAAAAGACTTGGTGCAAACAGGCATGAATGTGAGGGAGCTCCTTGTTATGCCTCTCTGTTTAAGTTTTGCGCGTCTAAGCTGAATGCAAGATGGGGAATAATTTCCTCATCAGCCTGTCTCTCCCCTTCGCTTGGAAGGGTGAAGTGGTCAATGGGTTGTATATTTAAACATGAGAAAATTGGTTTTTCAATTTCTGTCTCGACCAGAGAGACTCACTGCGTCTCCTTGTGCAAGCAGTTCCCCATCTGTAAAATGGATCCCCGGGTCCCCGTTTGCACTGATATGCAGCACGAGTAATTAATTAATGTTTGTGCAGCCCTTTGAAAATCCTCAGACAGAAGGTGCTGGAGGGTGCTGTGGGTTGGCCTGGGGCTGAAGAGGCTCACCCCGGAGCCCTGCTGCCGTCAGAGCCCCACGGGGTGAGGATGGGAGCTGGGGGTGCAGAGAGAGCTGCTGGCCAATTCCTTTGCCAGAGATATTTTCCATTTTTTTTCAGGGGAAAACAAATTGGAAAGGGAGTTATCCGTGAGCACGCCTCCCTCACTGCGTGTTGCCTTCTCCTTTCCCAGGAATAACAACAGCTTCATTAGCAAGCTGACAAAAAAAAAAAAAAAAAAAAAAAAAAGAGTGAAGAACGAGAGTTGAAATATTTATCGTAATAACGGTCCGGGTAACGGAGAGACACAACAACTCTTGTCTTTGCCTCATGCAGAAAGTTTTCTCTTTGAAGTGGTTGCTTCTCTCCTCACCCCGCTAGGAGGGAAGGGGGAACAATTGTGGAGATCTAAAGCCAGCCAGGAATGCTGAGCTGATGGCTTTCCTGCCTGCCCCCTGCCCGCACCCCTGCACACATTCCTCTCTGCCCCTGCCCGCACCGTGCCCGAATCCCAACCTGCCCCATCCACATTTCTTCCCCCACCCCCTTCCCTACCCCCTCCAAGCGCGCTGCCTGCCACAGCCCACAGCCCTGCCTGCCTCCCTCCCTCCACACCCCTGCCTGCCCCTGCCTGCATTCCTGCCCGCATCCCTGCTTGCCTCCTTGCCTGAATCCCTGCCCTCATCCCTGCCCGGCCGCTGCCCGTCGAGACTGGCGGCCGGAGCTGCACTTCCCGGCGCGGCCGGAGGGTGTCGCTGCAGCCCCTGCTTTCCCCGCCCGGCGGGGCCGGGGTGCAGGGCGCCCGGGGGGGGTGGGGGGTTACCCCAAAGCGCGGGGTGAGGACCCCCGCCCCACGGAGCGTCCGAAAGCAGACATTTCCATATAGACATATCATGGGTTTACAGGGTCGGATGGTTTGCTTTTGGGTTTTGGTTTGGGGTTTTTTTTGGGGAGGGGGTTGTTTTTTGTTTGGTCTGGGTGTTTTTTTTTGTTTTGTTTACCGAGGGGGTTCTCGAGTTTTCCTCCGCATGGGGAGGATTCCCCTCCTTTTTCCTGAGCGTGGCTGGCGCCCTCCGACTTGCGCTGCCAAACCGGCTGCTCGTGAAGGGCGCGATTCCCGTCTTGCTGCTTTCTTTAGCAGCTATAGAAATGCCACTGGTGACAGCGAAAAAGGGAAATTTTTTTCCCTTTCGATGTGCAGGTTTGCAGGTGTCTGCCTGCCATCGGCAGCGAGGACAAGAAATACTTACACTTGGCTGAAGATCATCAATGCACATGAGCGAGAACTCCCTGTCTGACTTTGACCAGCCAGTGAGATAAAAAAATATTTGTTCTTTTACAAAATATACACTCGAGCCATTTTTATCCCATGAAGTTTCTTACATATCTCACGGGCGCAGTTTCCTCGCAATCCAGGATTATTTTCCTAGAGCATTATGATTTCTCTCTCTCCTTTTCCTTATGAAAAAAATACAAACCAAACCAAACCAAAAAACCCAAACTAAACCAAAGCAACTCTCCCCCCTCCCCCTCAAAGATAATTACTTTAAAACATCTTCCAATGTTATGGGCTATCCACATTTTGCAATGTATTCCCAGTAATTTGCAACTTTTGAAAGCCGGGCATTGTTTCTCTCAGCTTATTGAAATGCACAGATATGTTAAATTGGGGGGGGGGGGAAGGGGGGGAAATCCCAACCCCAATGACTTCTGTTTGGCTACATATGCAAAGAGGGGGCAGCTTGACTCTTCCCTCGGCGTTTGTTAGTCACATCCTCTTGGCCATTGTTTTGCTGTTTGCGCTGGGAATCCAATTTATTTAATGGTAAAGAGCCAAGGCTTGGCGGGTTTTTTTCTTATTCCACTCATTCTGACCTGATCTGAGAAAGAAAAAAAAAAAAATTAGCCGTGCCCAGGGGCAGCCCCCCAAAAAGCTCTAGTCTCCTTGAGGGAGGGATGAGCATGTCCCAAGTGACTGGATACAAAATATACAGGGTTATTGCACCTTCTTAGTAATTTTTTGGTTGTATATTTAATTTTTTATGATCTTAAAACACATGCCGTGGATAGGTGGTGAAAACTTGGCGGTTTGTTTCAGGCGCTGGGCTGCATATACGGTGCTTCTCTCCTTGTAGTAATCCTTGGGAGGTGGTCCCCTGGCTGCTGTAGGTTGCCTGTTTTTGAAAATCCAAGTCCCCCAGAAAAACTGTTTATAGCAACAGGCCTGTTTCCAAAGTCAAGGGGGGAAGGAGGGGGCATCGTTTTCAAATTATTTTTTTTTTTTCGGGGAAACAGAAACAAATAGGTTCCTTTTGAGAAAGGTGTGAGCTGCCTAAATTGAGAAACTGTCCCGCCTTTGAAAGCTCCCAAGTCCCAAAATTATTTTATTAAAAAGGGCATCGAGGACCAAAATTCTGATGTTGTTATGGCAACAGAAATAGTTGGGCGGCAATGTGGGTATCCAGAACATCAAGATTGTAAGAAACCAGCAAAATAAGCACAGCGTTGTATTTGGAAAAACAAACTGAACGGTGGTGGCCAAATCATACACTTCTTTCATTCAGTGTAATCCCCATTTTCATCTGTCCAGCCATGCCGACAGTGCCTTAACGAAGGTGCCAGCAAGTCATTACAGTATTTATTGCCCTGAAATGCGACCTAAGATTTCACTTTATTTTCCCCGTTGACATACTAGAAGGAGAATCTTTCCTTATGTTTTTTATTTACTCCTTCTTCAGTGCCTCCAACTTTTTTTTTTTTTTCCTGCCTTTCTGTAGCGACACGTGCTCCAATCCCTTTTTGTCCCTATGCTCCCTACCTCGCCTGCCACAGGACCGTCGGCAATCCCCCTGTAAAAACAGCCAGACGTACTCCTCTTAAACCTCCGCGATATTAAAATTTCACCATCGCTTTCATTTCGTTCTAGCTGAGGGAGCCCTGAAACCGCAGCCCCGTATCCTCTAGTCTAGAAACAGCCAAACTATTTGGGAAGCTCGCGGGTCTCTACTGTAACACGCTTCAGGGACCTTTTGTATAGCAGCCGAATGAGATGAATTTGCCAAGTTTCAAATTTCAAGGGCAGGAAAGACATTTGTAAGTCGGTGTTTTTGTTATTTTGGAAAAGTTCTGTGATTTGCAGGCTTTTTTTCTTTTTCCTTTTACCTTACTTTTAATAAAAAGGAGATGGAGTGTGACATTAAGCAATTTTACAGCACTAGTAGCTTTGGGATGTAAACAAAGAAAAACGAATCCCGCTTACTTTAAGTCTCAGAAGTTTGCTGTCAGTCGGTCCTAAACTGGGGACTCGATCCTGCGGGACATTATTCAAGCAAAACACGGCTTGAAGTCTCGGAGAGTTGTGTCTGAGTAAGTACTCTGGAATCAGCCCCTCTGCCTGCTGGAAAAGAGAAGTGCTGATTATCTGCTTTTAAAGTTCTTTTCTGCGGTTGCAGACTTCATCCTAAAGCTTTTGATTTGCTTTGAGATTGCCTTGTTAAGGCTCCGTTCTCGATGCACACACTGAACAGCAAAAGAGAAATCAGTGTTTTTTGGGTAAGGCTGGGTTTTTTTCTTTGTTAGATTTTTTTTTTTTTTACTTTAAAAAATCTCCCCCTCCAAAGAAAACAAACCAAAAAAGCCTTTTATTGAAGCATCTGATTTTAATTTGACATTATTTTTGTTTCGAGGTCCCTGAAAAAATTAAAACATATTCCCTTCAATGATTTGAGCTTCAATTTTCAGCATTTTACAATGTAAGATTACTTGACATTATTTAATTGGACATGAGGGTGTAATACAGGAATTTCCGTTATGTGATGGATTAATTGTTTTCCTAATACTTTAAAGGCTGAGATCCAAACATTTTTCCATTCTATTGCAAAATTAACTGCAATAAATCTGTCAGACCCAATTATTCATTTAAAACATTCCACACTGATTAAATCTGCACATTTGCCTGCGTGCAAGAGCGAGCGAGGGAGAGGAGGTGTGCACGGAGGGGGCAGTCCAGGTTTATTCCCTCTCCTTCTCAAAACGGCAATGGTATTAGAAACGAGTCCTTTAAATTTAACCTGGAAAATGTGAATAGCTAAACAGTCTAAAGAGAGGGTGAAGAATATGTGGACACATGTCCCTAAGTCTCCCTGCCATTCCTCCTCCTCGCTGCCAGGTCCGGACACTCAGAAGCGTCACGTTTGGATGTTTGATGCTGTTTGAAAAGATCATATTTTACTTCTAGTGGGGGTGGAGTTCTTGATTTTTTTTGTTTTGGTTTGGTTTTTTCTTTAGTTTGTTGATGTTTTCAAAGTCTCTAAACAAAGTCAGATGTGTTAACAGTCTTATTAACAATGTTAAAATGGAATTAACAGCTTGTGGATACCTCTGGAGTACAATAGAATGTCAGCCTACCCTGCCCCCTTATAAATCGCGTCCCGCTGTCTTTCTTTTGTTTCGTGCCCAATCAGCAAACTAAAGTTTTGTTGAGACAGAAGGGCAGTTCAAGTGTTCCTGCTCCGGCGGAGGGAGGAGCGGCAGTGGGGTTTCTCCCCGGCCCCGGCGAGGCCCCCATGTGAGCGAGCGACTGAGCAGGGACATGGAGCAACCCCCAAACCTGCAGGCAGGGCTTTGCTGACCCGCCTGCCTCCCTGACCTCTGCCGTCCTGTTTTGTCAGTTTAAAAGGCTTTGCCGAGGTTGTAGTTTACTTTTATGGGCCTTTCAGCGCGGCTACAAAAGCTTTTGTTTATTTTAGATGTAGCGCGGTTCAGATTTCTATTAATCTTCATATAATTTCAGTGGCTTTGCTGCTTCCGTAAAGGTTCGTCACCGAAATGATGCCGTGCCTGCTCTGAGGTAGCCAACATCGGCTGGGTAATTACAGCGAGTTCGGGGAATTTCAGAAATAATTTCCCTCTGAGAGTGGAAATTAGCACCAACACATGCTGTTGTTTAACTCGATTTCACCATAATTTGGGTTCACCACTAAGGACAGACTTTTATTTTACCTTTTACTCCCTTAAGTTTTACTTCTTGCATGCAAACTCTTCAGAAGCATTGCCCAGCAGATTTCAGTGTTCAGTGCAAAGCAAGCATTTAATGAGATCTAATTTTTTTCACATGGCTAGAATCATCTCGAGTTAATTTGTACAGAAAATTTATGTAAAACAGGAGACATTCCCCATAAGGAAAATTCTTATGTTTTTTCCTTTATGGTAATTATATTTTTACTCCTTTAACCCAAGAAGCTCCAAGTATTTACAATTTCTCCTAGAAGTGTGGAACACTACAAGGCAGATGTGCACTTCAAGCCCTTTTACTGCTCAAAAATCTGCCAGGCACAGGCAGGTTGCAGTTCACCCAAGAGCTGCCAAACATTCTCAAGCCCAAAGTAGAAAATGCCATCCATTTTTCGGGAGGACTCAGGCCCCGTGTGCTCCTGGCTGGCTCCTCAGGCTGCCCCAGCACTGTCTGTCGCACCCCTCTCCGGCACCCTGGCCCTGCAGCTGCCCACTGGACAGGGATCATGCCCACTGGAGATGCAACTGCCCACTGTGGCACCCAGGCAGTCTCTGTGTCCAAAGCCTGCTATCTGGAGCAATGGTTTTGCCTCTGGCAGCCCGTTGTGCTGTGCCCTCTCTGAAATAATTTGGCCAAGCTGCGCTACACTCTTCCCCTGCGTTCCCCAGGCTTCCCAGTGCTGGTTCCCGCTGTGTCCCCACGTGTGTCCCACAGCCCAAAGCTTTTGCTTTCCCTGGGGGTAGCAGTGGGATGCTTGTTGTCCAGTGTTGGACTGCATCTGGACTGCCTGGCTCTTCTTCCCTCCGTCCCCTCTGATGTGGATTCACCCCCTCAAACCCCAGCCTAAATCCCTGCTGCCCTCCCTTCCTTTCCCTTCCCTTAAGTTTACACAGCTGTTCTGTAAAGGGAGGAGATGATACCAAACACAATGCAAATGGATCAGTAGCCCATGGACCATATGACTTCACTCTGATTGGCATCAAGCATAGCTTGCCCTCACCACCACAACACAATCTGAAAATGTTTACCCTTTCTATGGATCATGTCCCCAAGAAGGTGTGTAGTGATGAGGATTGAGTTCATTATTTTCTTACCTAACTGGCACAAAAACTCTCTCACAGGTGAACTTGTACCAGTTTTGCACATATAAAACCCAATATATGGTCTTAATAATGAAAGAACCAGAGTGATAAAGACTAAATTATAGAGAAATAAAATGTATGTTATTTATAGTATAGCTATATATTATGGAAATATATTAAATATTTTCCTTCAGCTTATTTGAAATGCTCTATGCCTATTTTTGCACTCTAAGGGTTTTACAACACTTCTAAATTCTACAGATAAAAATATATGTTTTCATCTTACTTTAAAGCTGATGAAACTGATAAAACAAAGAAAAATTTGTAAGCATGTGCTGATTTGTTTGTAGAGAAAAAATAAATGCCCATTTTTGGGAAGTGTATTTATTTTTATGCAGCATCTGCTGAGAGAACAAAAACATCTTTTGTCTGACTGCTAGAAAATTCATAAATAGTGTTTATTGAGAAAATATTTGTTGCTGATTGAAATCGTGCATTACAACAATTATGATAGTACTTTGCATTTGTTGTCATCTTCCAAAAACAGGGAGTCTCAAAGGGTCTCAGATAAGCAGTCTCCCAGGAAGGGTTCATAGGAATGTCAAGGTGAGCTGTGTCAGTCACCGTGTGCACCCACTCACCATCAGCCATCCCCATCACCTGGGGCAGAGCCCACCCATCAATCACTGTGCTTCTGTTGTTATGGCTGTAAATGTCATTTATTTCAGTAGCAGATCAACAGCAACGGAGGAGTGCGGAGTAGCAGGGCAATCCTTGCCAGCTCACCTTTACAGGGCCCCAGAGGCCAACCATCGGAGGTGCTGAGACCTTCCCGTGGAGCAGCTTCAATGGAGCAGGGGCTGCTCCCTGCCACTTCCCAGCATCAGGCCCTGGCGTCATTTTGTTGCACAGAAGCTTGCTCTCTCTCATGTGTGATTTTTCCAGATTCCTTAATTTCTGTGGTTATGCAGAGATCGTCTTCCTGCTAGACATCTCCTGAGAGAAGATTTAGGAATAATCACATTTCCCCCTTTTTATTTCTATTCTTTATAATGCGTAGCAAATTCCTGTAGAAGATTTTATGGAAACTGTGCAGCAGTTTGGTATATAGAGCTATATGGAAACTCCTCATATGTATTATAGTCTTGGTGAGCTCTCGGTGGTGCCCGCAGGAGTTTACATGAGTTTTCTGAAAGGAAAGCCCCACAAACTACTCAACAAATTTTTTAAAAAGGGAAATAATAAACAAACTTAATGACATTGATTTAAAAACAGTTTAAAGTGACAATATATTACCTATTTGCTCACCCATTTGGGTCCAAATAACTCTCATGCAAAAATGTATGGCAGAAATTGAAGCATGAGAGCAGGGCCAAAGTGTCACATTATTAATGAAAAAATGTATCCACATATTCAATATTTCAAATGCAAAGAGATCTATTGAAGGTAAAAATCTGAAAAAATCTTTCCAGGATTAAGCCTTCATACAAATGTCTCTATTTGAAAGAAGCTATAATATTATATAGTATGATGATATCTGTTATTTAGGTCTAAAAATACTAAATAGTACTTTTTGGACATATTTCCTGCTGATTCATCTGAAGAGTTTCTTCCAGCTCCTGGAGATAAGCAGGATGGGAAGGAGGACTCAGTTTTAGTGAAAAGTGGCTATGCAAGAGAGGTGGTGGTCACTTGTTGGCTGGAGAAGAGGATGAGTCATAGTCAAACCCCTTGGAGAAGCCCCTTCCCCAAGACCTCAGAAAAGTCCCACAGATGTCCATGGCAATCCGTCCTTCGCCCTTATTTGCAGGAAAAGTGAGCACATGGCTTTGGAGCAGGAGAAGAGTGTGTGGCTTCAATGGGTGCCAATTTTGTGGTTTCATTTCCTTTGGGTGAGCCACCTATGAGCTGGGCCAATGTCAGGGTCAGTGTACATGCCAAGGGCAGAAGCTGCCAAGGATGGAGAGTTCCATCTTTCCTGCAAAGCAAAACGAGGCTCATTGACACAGAAAACACTGTCCTGAGGCCTGGTGCACAAAGGTGCTTGAGAACCAGATGTTGTCCATTCAGTCACCTGCCTGATGCTCATTCAGGTGGAGGGAGGCGCTTGGACCAGACTCCTGGGAACTTCATCAGAGTATTCCTGGAGTTCACTTAAACCCCACCTGGCTCAGCTTTTCTGAGGCAAATAGTTGTGTTCATATTCTGTGCTGGATGATTTATTTATTTCCCTTTCCTATGCCAGGCAAGTTTTATTGAAGACATCCTGCAGGTTAACTAGTTGCAGGTGACTTTAGTTTG